AACATTTAGACTGCCATTAAAAATGCCTTCACGTGCTACCAGGACATATGGATGCAAGGTATAAAAGAAAGAATATTTCTTATAATGGGGCCAAGGGGGACTCATAACAGATGCTTTGGAAAAGAGAAGATGAGTTACTCTGTGATATCATGAGGAAGGAAGTCAAAAGCACCAAATCCCTGGGCCCATAACAAGTAGGGCACAAATCACAGGATGACTATCCCTGGTGTCTTTCTGCAGACAAGCAAGATACGGATTAGAGGAATAAATCAGCTTTAACTACTGCCAGAACATCTCCTGATAAGAGATTTAGAAACAGACAGCCACGTGGACTCAATCCCTGCTGCCAGCACAAACACGTTGCCAGCATGAGCAGCCTATTTCTGAAGTTACCCTTCAGTAAGGAAAGCCAAGGAAGCACAAACCCACGAACTGAAGGGTTAGTCACCAAAACCATAAGTCATTATCTGCCTTCTATACACAAGAGAGCTGTAAACCCACAACGTTTGTGTTCTCTCATTAATTGGTATTTTGCTCTCAAAATCAAAGAGGAAAGAGTCCAAAATTCTCTTCTCTGCCAAATGCAGCCCGAGCCATACCAAGTAATACAACTGAAGAGAAATCTGAGGAAAACAAACAAGAATAAGTACACGTTTTATATACACCTGTAACAGACAGAGAACTGAAGCCCTCAGCATAGGCCTCATACAGAATGGATGCCCAGGCAGCAGTAGCAGTGACGCTGTTGTCCAACAAGCAGATCCGTGGCCTGGTGTGCAGTAAGTCAATTGTCACACAACACTCAGGTTGCTAAGGAAGTTAAACTCCTGTCTTATAGGATGCCATGTGCCAGCAGTGTCTTTAGGCTGGTGGTGGCAATACCACTTGGTCTTGGAAGACAGCTCTGTGCCTGTTCTGCAACACAGGGATCCAAAAAGAGATTTAAGCCAAGAATCAGTATTGCCGAACACTCCAGCAATACTGCTGCCACCAACAGCAAACAGGCTGTGAAGCAAAGAGCAGTCTTAAGGTTTTGCTGGTTAAGGCTTCCAGCTAGCTGTCTACAGTTCTGCTTTTCTATATGTCTGGAAGTGCCCAAGGCTGAGATGGAAGTACCATGCTGAGGGCTCATCATCTAAAAGCTGAGCCCTGGAGGAGGTGTGTGCTGGACCAAAGAATTCTTCCAATACTCCCCTATCACTAGACTTTCTTTCCGGATTAAATTCTTCTCAATTTATTCTTCTTACTGTCTGTCACTCTCCTGTAAGAGAGCTGGACTAATTTTTATTTTGTGAGCCAGTGTAATTGATGGCTAAGTTCCAATCAGTTACACTTCTGCAAATCCTACACAACAGGTGTAGGAGCCCAAATTCAAAGATAACAAACAGATGATAGTGGCCAAGTTTATCCCTCAAAGACTCAGTAACAGGCAAAGAAGGAGAAGAGTCCAAACACTTCAGGCTGATCATGCTGACCTGGTAGTTAGAAACATTTCTAATTGTTATTTTAGGATCTTTGACACACAAATGGAATTGTAATATCCCAGCTAATATGAAAGTAAGACCACTTCTTTCCTCAGTCTGCTAGGCAGCCATAACTTCTCTCAAACTTTCTGCATCAAGCATTTGACATGTATGCCATCCCCCAATTACTGCAGCACCTATTGGACAGGGCATTACTTACTAGGTTTAACAGAAGTATATTAATCCTACTTCTATCTAGGACAGAGACAACTCAGAGATAAATTTGCAGTGCAAAATTTGGTGCCTATTAAGAAAGGGTCACCTGACTCTGCTTTCCAACTTTTGCATGTTTTTTTGACAGTTAAATGTCTCTCTATTACCCTGATTTATTCAGATACTGCTTACAAAAAGATGCAAAGGAAATACCAATTGAGTTCTCTCTGCAGGAACCACGACCTTCTACATCTATTCCCCCACTGATGGAGAAAAGTCATTCATGAAGATCTACGGATGCTGAGAATGTCTTGTAAAGACCACAAAGCAAGTGAAAGCAGCTTTAACTTACCAGCGTGGAGGTTTCTCTGCATACAACACTGAAGTGGGGTGGATATGAAGTTCATGGTCATCACGGATAGTCCTTGAAACAAGACACTATTTCAGACTGTGCATCTATTTATTGCTTAACATTTGGTTCCTTTCATCCCCAGTAAGAATGTTTAATAAAAGGCAACAATAAAAGAGCCAGAGCAAATTAAAAACATTTGCATTTAATGAACGGGCTTTCAGACGAAACCAGGCTTAAATCTTGGCCAAAGTTCAATCTCCTAAAAGAGTTCTATATATATTAAATGAAAAAGTAACGTTTCAGGCTTTTATTCAGTGCACCGGAAGTGCTACAACAGAGACACTGTACTTGCTTGTATTAACACAAGCTAATTATTATTAGTAACAGCTTCCCACTATCAATAACTCTAATTATTTATATTTTCCAAAGAGAAGAGATAAACATTGAAGCAGTTTGAAGATACAAAACTTCAAATATTTAGTAAATCAAATACTACGTGTTTCTTATTGCAGGTGTTTAGAGAAGCATCTCTTTGTTGATTATACATAGACATATCCAGTCAAAGCAGCTTTTAAACTAAGCAACAGTTGTAATGAAGCTATACACATTTACCTGTAAGCTCCAGTAGAATGGAATTTAGCTGCGTTAGCAAAGAATCCAGAAACTATGCATCTCAAAACAGGATCTGGATCACCTGAAGAAAAGAATTTTTATGTAAAATGAGTCAATGGAATGGCAAAAATCCCTAAAATACCACTTAATCACCTCAAACAACTTTTCACACTGCATCAGGCTTTAAGAGCAAAGGCTTGAAGGCAGACAAACCCTGCAATCTCTTTTGACTTCAATTTCACAGCAAATCAAAATTACTACATAAAAAACTACAGCTACCACTTGTGTCTCCATGAAGAGAGTTTCACAGTCCTTAGAGCAACCTTGTGTGACAGCTAAGCATTGAAGTCTGATTTTGCAGAGCAGTTCAGTGGTGAGAACTAGACATGGCACCCACGCCAATGCACCACTGCTAGAAATCAGATCCCAATGACTGTACATCATTTTGAACATACCAGAAAAACGGCTTTTTGAAAAGTCAAGAGAGGGAATGGGGTGACCTATTTATGGCTCTTGGTAAATCAGTCCATTAAATATATAGTCAATGGTGATAATCTCCTGCTGGAAAACTTAACTAATGAAGACTGGACTAAACATTAATTGTAATCAATTGTAAAAATGGGCTAAAATGCTCTTCTACAGTCATTTTTAGGAAAAAAATTTGGGGTTAATCAACATTATTTTTAGGCCAGGGAGAAAACACTTCAAAGGTGACAAGAAAAGCAGGAAGTAGACTGGCAAATTGGAGACTACCTTTGATATGTACTGGACAACACTTTAAGAAAAATTTTCACCTTCACTGGACTTCTTTGGCACTTTAAAGCGGACAAGAAGCTTTTTCAGCTGTTCTCGTACAACAGAAGCTCTAACAAGCCCTTTGTAGTTCAGAAAGTGTTCCTGACACCACTGAGAGCTCTTGCTGTGCTGTATGGTGAGAAGAATAGAAAAAATTACAGTGAAATATCATGAGCAAAAGAAAAACCAATCCCTTTTGGATCCCATAGTCTTGTTCTGTTTTCTTCTGCCTCCTACAACATATCTATTGTAGTTTTCCCTGAAAATTACCTGTTTACATAGTAGCTAACAAGGGTATATAACACCAGTAACTACAAAACATGTTTCAAATAACATCTAAATAGCAGCAGAACAAATTCCATGGGGTATTTTCAAACAGATGTGCTTCATTTCTTCATATGTGGTGAAAGAGAATAGCATCAGTCATTCCATTCTCACAAACACATCATATAATAAGCAAGTGTGTTTTCAATCTTGAAATGTAAACAACCTTCTTTGTAAACTGTTTACCGGTCTTTTCTATGCAAAGAACTATTTCTCCAGAAGCCAGCACCTACTCCAAAAGCCTCTGCATTTAGCTGTTTCTAAGTGAATTAGGCAGATATAAAATTTAAACGGCAAAATTCAGTTGGTGCCCGACTGATTGCTTTGGGGTTGGGGAGAAGGAAGTCATCTTTTAAACACTTGAGTGGTTATACTGCCTCAACTCAACACTGCTGCAAATATAGTATTACAGAAGTGCTTGATACCATACTTCTCCCAAATAGGTATAGCACTTCAAAACCATTAAGTAAAACTTCAGCTTAGAGAAGCATTAAGACTGGTGTTAAAACTGAGGGTAAACACATAAGGTCAATGAAAAAAGATGATATTTTAAAAAAAGAGGCAATTTAAAAAAAAAAAGACTGCTAGACTTAGATGCTGTTTATCATCAGTAAAACTCAGATACATCTATAGAAAAGATGAGAGAATATGAATTTCATTTGGAATTTAGATATCTGTTTTTCCCTGGCCCTTTCAAAAATCCCAGTCTCCTTGAAAATACAGTTGTCTACCCATAAGACTTCCATGCTTATTCCCCTTAATCACATAAACCATTGACCAAGTCTGAGACTAAGATTGGACCTAGCCGCAGCTAGACTCCTCTCTGCAAAGAAGTTTAGAAAGCAAGGGGGTCTACTCTGAACTCAAGGGGAGGGTCCTTCTTATTCTCTGCATTCATGGTCTCTCCGTGAATCATTTTAACTCAAGTGTAACTTAGTTTCCCTTTGTGTACTTCATCCATGCAGTAATGGAGTGAACCTTGTCGTCTTCAAACCTTTAACTAAGTCGCTGTTTTCATTAATTCTGTCGAATCATTTTGTTAATCGGCTGACAATTGAGTTCTATTAAAATATCCCAATCCTATGATTTGCTGTAAAGGCACAAAGAAATTCTAAACTGCTACTAAATCAAAATTGTGTAAAGTCACTCATTTGTGTACACACTTGTGTACACTTTCACAATTGTCTAAGTCCTCAGCTTTGAGGATGCAATATCCAGAACTTCCAGAATCAGAACTGAAGACCTCAAGTTCTTCCCATTCCTGCAATTCCACATACACTTGAACTGACTTACTTTGACAAAGGCTTCATAAACATTAAGCATAGTGAGATGATCACCTTCTTCCACAGCAAACTTTCTGTGTTGCCTGGCCTGGAGAAGAAGAAATGTATTTTTTTTATAGGCATTGATTTTTGCAAAAATCATGCCCAATACGCTCAGTTCCCATCATCTGTGTACTTCCTGGTAACTATCAAAACTCTTACCATATAGGGTAGTTCCTCTAGACAACAGCAATATTTTACTAGCCCACCTATATTCAGGAGCCCCCAAAATCCTAGAGGAATGCATTAAAATTAGGCTCCTGCTACCTATTAAGAATTTCCTACATCCCAATACTTTTTTTTTTTGTTCCTCCTGAAAGGAGGTAGTGTTTGGGGAGGTTTGATTTTTTTGTTTCCTTTTTTTTCCCCCCACAAACCCTTATGCTGACCAATACTGGTTTAAAACCCTGTATGTTTCTGGTTCTCAGAAGGAAACTTTTAACACTGGTAAAGGACTCCAAGGTTCCCCCTGTTACTCAGTTTCTTCTTTTACCTATAACCAATAGGTACTGTTTCATTTTCATACAAACCTGCTGTCTGTAATGGCTATCAATAACATACTTGGCAGAAATCCAGAAATGTGGAACTAACAAAAAGAAAATGAGGCACAATGGAACTTACAGCCTGAGCTTTTTGATTTGGAGGGATCACAAATATGTTTTGAATCTGCATCATGGCAGCAATTGTCAAAATCTCCTGGGAGCAGCCAAAATTTCCTGGGGAGTAAGTGCAGAAATTCAGTAAAGGAAAGACTTCTTCCATTCAACTTATCCCCATACAGAATAAAGAGGAAAAGAAGCAGAGTATATTTTTATAGCATATGAAACCAAAATACCTGAACTCCTGGATTTTTTTTTTTTTAGTATAACAGCAAATGTTTTTAAAGCAAAACTTAAGGCAAATGTGTTAGACTTATTAATTAGCGTCTTAAATGTGTTAGACTTATTATTTGAGAGGTCCATGAGTTTAACCAATTCTTTTCACTAAACACCTTATTAAGATGAAGTATACAGTTTGTTTCAAGCTGAGCAAATGTCTAATACTACACTATAATCACTAGAGGCAATATCCTCTACTCAGCACAGGACTGTGAAAAAAACAACTGATTTTTTTTCTCCTACCTGATTCCAGAAGCATCTTTGCAAACATAGGATTCAAAGGAAATTCTGCTATTCTCATTCCAAGAGGCTCTGTTAAACGGCAGTGCATATCCAAGCCTACAGCACATTAATAAAAGTAGCTGTGATACATGCAGAAGTAGCACAGAAAGTCTTGTTTAGGAATTTAATGTGTACTGAAAAGCAGTATCAAGAGCTAAAATATAGCAAATATGCCTAAGAATTGCTGATGTATATTAAACTAAGTTTAAAGGTGCTCCTTAATATCCATCTACTTTCCTACGGGTCACTGGTATTATTTTTTTGGTTTTTTAACATACTTGAACACACAAGTTTCTTCATTTTGACCAAGTTCCATTGCTACCGCCAGCGATTTAGAAAACCTGCAGTCAAAGCCAATGCAATGGCCAGAGTGTCTATTAGCTGTTAGACTCATGCATCTCCTTTTTAAGTACTTTTCTGTTCATGGTGACGGGAAGCAGGAGTCATAATAAGAATTAAAAAGAGAGTAGGGTGTCATTTTGCTGCATCACATTAGCTTAGGTCAAGGAGAAAAATTATTTAACTTCAATACAGTCTAAACTAGAGATGTAGAGCTGATGAAGATCCTCTACAGTTTAGTCTGCCTCACACATCAATAACTCAACTGTCAGCCATGTTCCAGCTGTAACCTTTTTACTGGAGATGGTGCAGGAGGTAGGCATGACCACTTGCTTTTCGATTCCCAGTTATCACCGAGCAACCCTGCACTTTTACCATTTTAGTTGTATGCTTCCTACAGTCAAACACCTGCAGTAAGGTTTACCCATGCAAACAACCAGGGCATATGCTAATCGAGAGCACTATGCTGGAATTTCAGGGAACAATTTAAATGGAAAAGCATTTCCTTTGCAAGAGAACATAGAAAATAGACTTGAAAAAAGAATACAGACACAGGAAACAATATGGAGAAAAGAGCTCGCTAAGAAAGTCAGCAAAGAGCGAGAACTGAATGAGAAAACTGCAAGTAAGCCAAGTTGTATGAGGTACAGCAAAGAGGCAGAGCGCAAGAGAAAAGCTACACGAAGAGGGACTAACAAGAGCCCAATAATAGGACTTTGGAGTACTACAGATTGCATAAATAACCACAGCAGAGTGGAGCAAGGAAACACAACTGTGGCCCATGCATTATATAAACATATTATTTGTCAAACTGTGTGGTGGCAAAAAAACAACAGTTGTAATTCAGCTGCGTTTCACAAAGAAAAGCAAAACCACAAATCAAGTCAAGGAATGAGATCTCCTATAACTCATGTCAGCATATTTAAAACCGCAGATACCGCTATCAAGTGTTTACATTCCTTTATTATTTGATATGCTATCTTCTCATTTATGATAATGTAGTAATTCACCCACCACACCCCTACACTGTTCAACAAAACCTAACAGGCATTTCACATAATGTCACAGTATTTTCCCCAGAAAGAGGTACAAAAGGCAGCTTATCTGAAACAATGAAGTAATATATTTAAACACAAAGTCACGGAAACTGCAAAAACTAAGGTATGACAGCTTTCATTTGACCAGTGCAATACAAGAATTTTAAGTGCTACCACAATTAATAGCTTAGAATATGCTGTCTTTCATCTACAGAAAGAAAACTGCATTCCTAAGTAGGAAAAAGAAGAAATTACCATCCTTTTCACTTTCTACAGGTGCATCAAGCCAAAATCCTTTGGCTTCTGCTGAATCCTACAAATCTCAATGCAATTTTTGCATGGATATATATACAGCTTATGCACAGATGTCTTTGTAGCAGTAAGCCTGAATATACACAAAAGGCCTGCAATGGATACTGGTTTGGAATAGGGAAAAGTTTCCTTAAAATAATCTTGGAAGCAATCACTGTGTGTATATATATATATATATATATGAAGTTGGAGATCTTAGAAAAAGATACTGCAAAGATTTTTATTGAACATGCTCAGGAGAGATTATTCAAGTACTGCGGCACTAAAAAGTTTCAAGTAACAACCACTAGTATGTTATGGGCCGAGGGATTAAAACACGTTTTTAATCCTAGGTAGAATGGTTGTTTCTGATAGGTGGCGACTTACAAACAAATCTGCAAGAAAATCTTGGATCTGAAATAAAGCTAAAAATAAAGCCACTTTTTACCTGCTTATTTACCTCCTAAATTATGCTTAAAAACAAACTCCAACTGACAACTCAGACTTTCAAAGGGGCATCAAAGGAGAAGGCTGAGAAGAGATACTTGTGATGCAATCAGTTTGCATCACATAATCTGTCTAAAAACAGCGCTGTGTTTATTCAACAGAACTATCTCAACCTTAAGAGCGTCTGCTCTGCTCTGTTGGCACCGCATTGGCACAATAGGGTCCTGACCCTAAACTACACACTTGCATACTATTACAATGCAAATGATGAAATACATGTTCATACTTGCATAAGAGAAATTTGATCCTTACTGCACCTGTAAACACTTGGGTAGCTTCACCTCTGGAACGTCTATAAAATCTCTATAATAAACCACCTAAAGCCTTAAACTTCGGCAAAAAAAGAGTGGATCCATATATCACACACACTTGCACACACATTTCTTTCCATCTTAAACACCATCATCAGCAATTCTCTGCTGTGCTACAAAAGCTGGGCAGCCAAGAGAGTAACAGCTCTGTACTTTTCTGTGAAGCTACCATGAACATAACACTTTCACCAAAACATCAAACAGCTAATCAGTGAGTTTATTGACCTTTGCTCCCCATTTCCCTAAGGTGCCTTTGGCTGTGAATTCATCCTTGCAACATGCTTCTGAACCACTGTGAAGGTCCTTGTTCCAAGTTTGAAAAGGTTGCCAAGAACCATGTGCCTTAAGTGAAACCCTCCTTTGCAAGATGGAACTGAATCAGCGCAGAGCAAAATCGCAGCCAAGCAGAGTTACAGCTCCATGAGAATAAGAAGAGAGGAGACTGCCACAAGTTACAACACAGCATTTGCAAGTGATGTAAAAACAGCCACAAACCTCTGGAAGCTTCCAAAACTTACACAATCTCCTTTACACTACCTATTCCTCATGTTTATATTATGGAGCAAATATTGTTAACTTTGAATTAACTACAAACGCTGAGTTAAACAGAGTTTCATTTTGATTACTTGTTCTTGTGTCAAGTTTCTGTTTTGTTTAAGTTTGTTTCTTTCAAAAAGATTAAATAGCTGTCAAAAACACCAACAACATAACAGTTCTTCCTATAAACAAAATCAGACAGCATACATTCCACTCACCACAACAAAAAGGAATTGAAAACTGTGTATAAAAATATTACTACAGTGTGATTTGAGTGTTATAGGTATCCAACAGTGGCATAATGAATAAAACCAAAACTAACACATTTAGAATCATAGAATATCTCAAGTTGGAAGGGACCCACCCCTAAGGATCGAGTCCAACCCCCTGCTCCTCACAGGCCTACTTAAAACTAAACCATATGACTAAGACCATTGTTCAAAGTCTCTACTGAATTTAAGAACAAGCTGTGATTAGTAATTCAGAGAACATAATAAAAAAATATATTCTATTAAGTAGCTAAATAGTAGAAAAGTTCTTTGAATTATGGTCTCAGGGTCTGTTAGACCAGCTTTTTCTTCTTTTCATTAGAAGTTTGTGCAGATCTGTTAATTTGTCCACAACCAGAAAGTTCCATACTAGTTTTAACTAGAGCAGCCTCTCTTTGCGAGCTGCATGCAAACAAGCTCCTATGCATTTAGAAGCACGAGAAGCAAGCAGGCTGTGCACTGAAACACAGGCACCAAGTGTAAGAAACATAGTTCCAATTCATCCAGGAGGAAATGTGCTGCCTTTAGGAATGATATGGGGTTTTTTTTAGCGATTGCATCATGTATTCACAGCTAATAGAGACAGAACAGTTTGACTTTCTACAGGTTTGAACTTTTGTCGCAGCTGCAGGACCAACACCACTAACATCAATAGCACTACGCTGCTTAAGGTGTAGCCTTTTAGCCATAAGACACACTACGTTCAGAGCAGAGACACAGACTAGAACTAATTTTTTACATTATAAAGAATAGATTAGCTCTTAATAACTTTTGTAAGTCATACCTTCAAAATAGTATCAATGACAAGGTCTGAAAACTAACATGTGACACTTGCTTTGCTAAGCCATAGGGAAGCACACTCTCTATCGGGTTTAATTCTAGCATCCAGTGACTGGCCTCTCCCAAACTCAAGCATCAGATTTTACTTACATTGTTTAGGCAGAGCTCCTGCACACACACTAAGATCAGATAATGAATGTAACAAGCAAACAGAAAAATTTAAAATAGATGCACTATGCTTTTTAAAGTCTGACCAAGGAATAAACAAAGCAACAATTATGTTAAGCCTGCTAAATTCTAGGTTATTGCAATCAGTCTGATCGTGAAAGAGATGTCAAACCTTTACTTCCAACATTTTTGTTTATACTTGCAAGTGCTACATGTTTCCATCACTGGCACAGTAACACAAAACAAAAGATCAGCACACTAAGAGCTTGAGTATCTAACAACTTATCTAATCGGATGCAGGTAAATTTAGTGTCTAGCTCATGTACTGGTCTAATTAGCGTCCAAACTCTGTTTTTATCTTCATACCACTCCATAAGGACTGAAGAACACAAACAGAGGATCTGCCCAAGAGAATCAAGCCAACACCCTCACCCTGTTCCTAGCAAGGACAAATAGCTGGTTCCTCCCATGAAGGTGCAAGGAAATACACACAAGATAGCTATAAAATACGCATTTGCCCAATCTAAACAGTTAAATTCTAGTTTATACTCTATGCAACAGATTTCTGGTTCCTCCCAAAAAGTTATGGCTGCCTTTTGCTTGCTTACCTGTCTGAAATAACCAGAGGAAAAGAAAGTAAATTCAGAGGAGACTGAGGTACACTTTAACACACCAACAAAAAGCTTCCACCAGTCAAGGCTGTGTTTTCTCTTTCTCAAAGCACAGTTCTCAAATGCAAGTTTGATTAACATCGATCCAATCACCAAGTCCAAATTAACTTTTTTTTTTCTCACAACTCCTGTAACATAACTATAAATTAAGCAAAGCATAATATTCTCACCTCCTAAAGCATACAGCAATTCTAAAGCTTGCACCATTGACTGTGCAGGAGGTGGCTGTGAAGAAAAAATGCGCATTGTTTAAAGTTATCATCACAGAACACATGAGTTGTCACAAAAATTCTTAGATCTTCCTCTTTTGCAAAATTCTTAAGTTCTAACTATCTACCTTTCTACTTACGCAAAATGAAGAAAGAGCTCTCGGACTCTTCCCTTCAGCTGACCACCAGTGCTCCCAGTCAAAACCATCTCAACAGGCTCAGCATCATCACTGTGATGCTCTCAAGATCCGAGCTAGAAAAGGCATACTTGCTTTGTCCAACAGTGATGCCAGCGGTGATCAGAACAGTTACTTAACTTTCTCTTCTAATGCTACCATGTTAGTTTCTCACATCAATACAAGAGTAGCTAGAAACTTTACAGACAAATCTAAAAATTGGTACTGCTCTTTTTAACAAGACAGACAAGCACAGGTTTAGTTCTATAGATACCATTTTTTTTTCCCTTTTCCTTCATAAATTCAGTGCAAAGGGACTACAGTTCCAGTTCTGCAGAATCTCAGAGTTTGTCTTTCTAGGCCTTTCTCAACTTCTCAATACTGCTAACAGCAAACTCTAGAATACAAACAGTCATTGTTTCCCAGTTGTCACACACATTACTTGCACTAGTTGATTCCCAAAAACATACTTTGCTGCCCGATAGCAGACTGCGAGTTATGCTTTCCAAATTAACAGGGCAATGGCTACTGATTAATGGTTCTGTGGGTTGTCAACAAGTCCTCTAGTGATCTTTCTTCACACTAAGGAAAGATGACAGACTTTACAGCCTAGGACTCACCGAAAGAAAGGGGAACCTGAGCACATTGTCAATTCCTAAAGCCTTCAGCTGCAAAATGACAGGCGCAAGGTTACTGCGTTGCATCTCAGGAACAGTGGACTTGGGCAGCTTCTCAAAGTCCTCTTCTGTTGTGGGAGAAAATAAATCAATTTGGGACAGAGTTTCAACTCCTACTGTATGCAGTCAACATGATAGAATCGTACCCATATCAAGTTAAAATTATTGAGTATGAATACTTAACAGGTGTTAAAAGAACTTTAAGTCAAAGATTATCTTTCTCCAATTACTATATTTTAAGATACTTTAAATAGAAAATTCAATGAGTTTGGCTACATTTCTGATTCTGTAGTTGACCCACCTACATTTCTATTTGAAATGTGGTTAAGTTCTTCACAGAAATGCTTTATTTCTCTTCTGTTTAATATTTTTAATCAGAAAACAACAGGTAGTGTGCAATACTACAAAAAAACATTTTTTCTAAAGAAGGGACAAGGAAAAGTTCAAAACCAGCATGCTTTCTGTATAAAAATACTATTTTTAGTAATTATTCAAACTAAATGAGTTTTTAAGAAGTATATTTAAAATAACGACTAAGGATTGAAAACCAATTTATTTAGCAATGCCTTTTATAAAGCACAATCACTATAAAGTCTAAGTCTAGAAAAATACTTTTCTCTACCTTTGTCCATTCAGTGCACTTTAAGGGGGACTTTTCTTAATGTTTCTTAACGCACCCATTAGGCCAGCTCTTGGGCACACAAAAATAACAGGTGTAGTCATGGTTTCTCCAGTGAAATACTCAAAAAGCTATGTAAGCTTGGTATATTGTTCATCAGACATTCACCCTTGATTCTTCACTGGTCACAAAAGTTTAGAGAATAAATCATGCCTTTGTTTAACACGGCAACTGCTGGCAAGCGCACACACATTTTAAAAGATATGCTTGATCTCTCTAAGTCTCAAAGCTCCGGTAAAATTAGAGGGAACCTGAGGCACATAAGCAATGGCAGTGCTCAACTGCAAAGCCTTTTCTTGTTAAACAGCCAATAACCGACACAGATTGCAGCTTTCTGAACACTGCTAGGTGGCCAACAGATTTATTTGTAACAGTAATTTTTGTACAGTGCCAGAATCATTGATTCACAAGATGTATTTGGGGTTGGCACCTATTGCTATGTAAAAGGAGCCACAAAAAGAAGTTTTCCCTCAGTTTTCTGAAGGATTTCCGGAGTCCTTTATTAGACGCACAGCCTAAAGGAGACTTTAGTCACAGAAGAGAGCATATAGGTGGGTATTATAAATTGAAGCAACTGCTCAGAAACCAAAATCATTAAAAAAATAAACTTCTTAGTAGACTCACCACTCTATGAGTTGCATTAACATTACAGGCTTGCAATTGCTAACAATCTCATAGTACCTACCCTGCTCAATTTGTGTTTCTGATTCATAAAGAGATTCAGTTTCCAATGCTTAGCACATACGAACAATGTATCTCTAAACAAGCCAGAGGAATAACGAAGGGAAATGTCTATCTCTCACTGAAAGAAAAAAACAGTTTTGTTTCCCTTAATCTAACACTAAAACCACTGTAAACTAAAATGGAAGTCACACCAGCAAGTTCACCTTCCCTATCCTGCTCTCTGATTAGCTGAAGCTTTAGATACTGGTACCACCACAAGGCATTCAATGGCTGTTTTGGGGTTATAGGCCCGAAGCTTCACAAAACCACAATCAATTACAAACGCAATTCCGTGAACTGTGATGGAGGTCTCAGCAACGTTGGTGGCTACTATCACCTACAGATACAGACGCAATGAGGATACTGTGTGAACTCCCCAATCTTAATTACACTATCAAGCCCCAGCATCAGTGCACCAGGATGCCAATACAAGCCACGTGAAAGATCTCAGATGTGACGGCTCCAGTAAACACACTCTAGAGCACAAAAGGATACAGTACATGCAGCAGAAGGAGCTGTCAGCTCGAAATAAGCCCAGTTTTTACAGCTTCACAACCACTTTCTCATTCAAATTTATTCTCTCTTCATAAAAAAAAAAAAAAAAAAAACAAAACTTTGCAGTGTTTGCAGAGAAAAATATTGTCAGTGTTTACGAAGAAAAACATTAACTGATTAAATCAAGTGTTCTTCTGTAGCAAACTAAAAATATTTTCTTTCTGCTTCTCAGTTATGTTGAGCTGTTACTTCTAACACTGGAGGCAGGGAATAGGAGGGGAACAGAGATGATTAAGCTTTCCATGTTCAGTATTCCTGCAGAGATACACTTATATATACGTCCCAAAATACTCAAAAATAATTGTTCCCAGATGACAGAGGGAAATTTAATCCTTATTTCACCTGAAATTAAAAAATTAAATCTTGGAAGTTAATTGACTAATGGCATATCCTCAAGAGAAAAGTATTTACACTCAATGTTCTCCAATACCAGACAAACAATCTTAGTTGTTAGACTCCAGCAGGCAAAAGAATTATAACAAGTCACCCCTGTGCAATGCTGTCAGTTTATCTCAGCCCCAACACAGGCTCTGCCTAGGCAGAAAGCACTAATCATGACCAATTACATAGTTCTGTAACATTAAATATCCGAACAAGACTTGCAGAAGTCAAAGTTTTTTTCTACTAAAACCAAGCAAGTTTTAACTTGTTTCTCAGGTGAAAATACAGCACTTACACTGTGAAGTCCTCTACTTTTACCTGGTTTTGTTTCTTTTTGTGGTCTAAGTATTTATGGCTGTTTTCCATTACAGTAATGGAAAAATTAGTGACAGAGTGGGTAAGGAGCTGCAACTGGACATAGACAAACACAAGGCTGTATGAAGACTTTTAAAAATTGATAATTTGATGAGACAGACAGGAGAGTTAGAACTGACATGTCTAAGACTGAAGATGAAAAGGAAAGCCAGACAACATGTTCTTGTTTTATAGTCTAAAAACTGCCAGGCAGTGTTAGGAGATGCAGAAATCTCCCTCAGTAAGCATTTGCAATAGTCTCATGATGTGAACCTGATACATACAATCTGTGCAATGCAGACACCCTTCTGGGTGGTAGAAATTGAGACATACATAACAGCCTTACCTTCCTGACGCTGTGAGAAACTCTCTCAAACACTTTCATTTGCTCAGGGGAAGGCAGCCCAGCATACATGGGGAGAACACGGAGGTGCTTCTTCATTCCAGTGCGAGAAAGGGCCCGAGCCTGTTCTATGAGCATAGAAACAACAGTCTCCACTTCCTCCTAGAGCCAGAGCAAGGCAGGGAGCCGAATGAGAGAGGTTTCCCTTTCATATCACATAGCTGTCACTTATATGCAAAAAATGCACCAAAATAATCCCAATATAATTTTATTTGTTCAAACTCCAGGCTCTTTTGACTAGCTCCCTTAGTTTTGTAATATTCTTAAATAAATTGCTATTCATAATAAATATATATGTAAATACTTATGTTCATTGTTATTTGAGACAATGTCAAAAACACCTGAGAAAAATCACCAGGGAAGGACTGAACAAAGTTCAGGAGGAAGCAGGCATGTTTTCCCCTATATCTCAACTTATGAGAGCAAAATGGGAGGCCAATTTATTTTGACTGTGCAGAACGCTGTGGGTCTTCATTATGAATGACACAGCAACAGTAATAATACTTATTGCTCAACTCCACATTTAATCTTAGAGATAACTGTGGCATCTCGCTCTTAAACACAGGCCACAAAGTGTTCAGACACTGCCTTGTCAGATACCCAATTCACCCTTTCAAAGTCAAATCAAAAATGGGGATGAGGAATATATTCTGAAAATATGCAAGATGTTACTGAAGCTCTTCAAGGTAGCTCCTCACTGGAAGAATTATAACCTACTTTCCATTTACTGTTCTCAGCTGCAAAGTGAGCTGACAGGTATAAATAGAGCAGAAGAGACTCGTAAATTTTTGTCTTACAGTAATTTGTTTTTCTGTAAAAGACTTCACATGTTAAGCCTAACAAATGTAAATTCCATTTGCCTTAACTATTAATGATGACTCACTGCAAACTTTGTAGGTGTGACTAGCACCAAAAAACCCCACATACTGTTCCACTTGTCAACAAGGCCAAAAGCATACAGCATTAAATGAGAAAAACTATCATCCATCACTAGCTTTGATAGATCCAGACCATAATTGTATTTTCTAAAATCTTTCAGACTGGCTTAATTCTGCTCCCATCAATGCAGAAATATTTGTCATCTTTAATGAGATTAAAGGAAGCACAAGCTAAAGAAAGCAGAAGACCGAGGCAGCTTCGGAAAGCCCACAATACAGCTCTGTAAAGCAAAAAAAATTGCTTATGTCTATACCTGGCCAGTTAAAAATGCCAGTATATCACCATCATTCTCCATCTGGTGAATTTTCATTGCAGTTTCCACAGTTGATTTTATATAGTCTGGAACGGGACTACAGGGAAAGAAAATAGCAGAGACATCAGCAGAAAAATAGGTACAGGCTCCTCACTTCCATAAGGAACAAATAGAGAGGTAGCTTTTGGACACCATACATCAGCCATATCACACTCGAGTCATGATGCATCCTTGGGAAACAGCCTTCAGCAATTAACTTGTTTCCTTTACACCACAGTAAACTTAAAAACATGTCTGCTCCTATAAGCAATATCCAAATGTTTCCCAAATGGAACATTACATGTCCTTTACCATTGGTCTGGGAATTTCTGAGCTCTAACCTAACAAAATGATGCCACAGCTGCACACTCTCCTAATCACCACTGACAAGATCAAACAGGAACACACCTTTGTATGTAAAAGATGTCCACTGGAAACGTTCTCCCCGCGACAGTAAGGATCACACTGGTATCTTTGCTGGGGTCACCGGTATCATTTTGATTAAAGAAATCCCTGAATTTCTACATTAAAATAAAAGCAAACACTTTCAGTTTGATACTTCAAAGAACTGAGGGAGAAACTTAAAGACATGAAGAGGTTAAGTTACTACTGCTTCGATGTGGGTTGGTTTGTTTTTGTTTTTTCCCCCATAAATTTGACAGTGCCAATTTAAGAATTTTAAAGTTTTATTTTGTTGCCTTCTATTCTGTCCAGGGTTCAGGAATTTAGCACAAATACACTGTCTGCCACGTTTATTACTTTGAGAAGAGAGGTACAATTAATTAGATCAGTTGATATAGTTGGAAAAAGCAGATATATAAGCTTTCCATTGGATCTGTAACAGTAGCAAAGTGAAAGCTAGGAACTTAGAAGTGATTGGTTCTAGAAGTTTTGGGCTGGGCTTGCATATTCTCATCCATTTTCGGATGAGTAAGCAAATTTTACAGATCTTACTGAACACCAAGATCTCACTTTGTAAAAGCAGAAGTAGGCTGATTTATGTAAGTTTTTGATTTATGCAAGACACCATCATAAATTTAGATTTATTGCCATGAAGTATTTTAGATACATAATAGCAAAAGAATGAACGTTCAGAACCCAAATAATCCAAGATACCATAAGCTTTCTCTATTTAAATAAATGTGTCATACTAATAATTTTGTTCCCATTAGCTTGCAGTTAATGTAAAAATAAGTTATTTGAAATGTGTAATTTCTGACAGTTAAAATTTTGCAAAGGCAAAGTATCATAATGTTATCCAATATAATGTACAGAATACGCAGTAGTGGAAGTACTGCCGAAGCACAGCATATTATCAAGATTTATGGCATATCACATTTGTCACTAGAGGAAATCTCAGCACACCTACATCTTCAGTGCTACATACAAGCTCTCACCACCACGTCTCATGAAGGACACAGCGGAGTTAGGAAAAGTACAGAGAAAAGCAATGAACATGATAAAGGAGATGGAGCAGCTGCCTCATGAGGAGAAGCTGAACAGACTGGGGCTCTGCTTGGGGAGCAGAAGGTTGAGAAGACACGCAGCTGAGGTTTACAGAATCAAAGATGACAGATAAATAAAACTGGTTTGGGTTTTTTTTTAATGTTTTTTTGTTTTGTTGGGTTTTTTTTAAATTAAATCCCACACTACTAGAACTAGGAGGTCCTTGATGAAACTAGCAGGTTTAAAAGAAATTAAATAAAGTACTTCATTATATAGCAGGTGGCAAACTTCTGAAAATTGCTCTCACATGATGTCCTGAAGACTTACAGCTTCATCAAGCATATTCAAAGACAAATTAACAAACAGCAGGTCCATAAACACATACAAACACTGCAGATGCTGATGCAGCTCAAAGAGAACAGACCCACAGCAGGTGGATGGGCTCATATGCCCTCCCTAAACAGCATCTCCTATTGCTGCTGCTGCTACAGACAGAACACCAGACTGAATGAAACACTGCTCTCATCCAGGAGAGTGTTTCTTCTGCTCCTACTCAAAATTAAATTAACTGCATTTTTTATTATGTTACATACGTTTCCACAGGCCACAAGTCAATCAGGGAACTAGTGAGATCTCACTGAAAATAAATCTACTCATTTGTCACTTATTTTTACTCAGGAACACAGAGCTAAACCAATGTCTCTTACTAGAATAGATTAAGCCAAGAGAACATCTTTTTACACAATACCAATAGGAGGAAAAAAGGCATAAACATATGAAAAGCAGATTCATATTTAAATTCACTTCCAAAAAAGCTTGCTAATACAAAATGAAAACCAAGCACAGCAACCTAACTACAGCAGATTTTTTTCCTGCACTCCTTTCACTCTTCTTCACCACTCGAACAGCAGTAATGCTTCACAAGAAGCAAGCAGCACAGAGGATGAGCTGTATATAAATAGAAGTGGAGCTGCCACCTAAGGTCACTTCATTTCAAACCAAATCTGTGAGCTATACCTCTGCATCCAAGGTGGCTGAAGCCACAATCAGTCGGAGATCCCCACGCTTCTTTTGAACCTAGGATAGAGACCAAGAACATCCAGAGTAAAAACTATTTTCTGAGATATAGGCTAGAACCAAGTTTTAGAGCATCCAGATTACCCATAACTTTAAAAATACTTTGATACTACAAGACAGCTGATAAACTGAAGCACCTGTATCACCCCATAGCCTAACAACCTGATGACTGTTTGGAGTTTTATATATTCATTTTAAGGGCATTTAATCTGTAATCATTACAGCTTACTCTTAATTTCTGGTGGGAGGCAGATCTTTCATAGGTTGAAAGTCAGCAATAACCCCCTATCAGATCACTTCATATGATCAGCAGCAGCAGAATGAAGACTACCTTTTTGCTAATTGAGAAATTTCAGCATTGGGGGAGGAAATAAATGATCCTGAGTGTCAGATATCTAAAGTAAATAGTTGGGTATGTACAATAAGCTGCAGGATAAACAAGGAACTAGAAATCACCCTCTCTCAAATGGGTTCACTAATCAGCCATCAGGATCAGAAGTTTAATGAAAAGGATGAAAATGAAAACAGGTATAGAGAACATTAAAAAAATTAACCTTTTTTAGTAACCCAATGGCAATATCTGTATAAAGAGTCCTTTCATGGGCTTCATCCAGCATAAGCACACTGTGAACAAAGCAGAAAGATAAGATTTCAGAAACGGTTTGATTGACACTAGAATCAGTATCTTCCTGGCGTCTAGAAATACCATTATTTGACATCTGCTGCTGGACCATTACTGTTTACATCCACTTAGAAAACTGTGGAAGTTAAAAAAAAGCACACCAATGAAGTGGGGACAAAAACATAGAAAACATCACATGGTACATACATACTGTTCTTTATTCAATTAGCTTTTGGAAATGGGTTGAAAGAAAAAGGTCTATCTTAACTGTACTCTGTAGGTTTTCTAGATACCAGAATAGCCTGCATTTGTTGACGATTTTCTTTACAATGCTAATCAAATAAAAAGAAAAAGTTAACACTAGTAAATGAAACGATTCAGACTCCATGAGGCCCATTTACCTTTTGTTCCAAAACCATAGCACCAAATCCTGCCAGGTTTGGGGTTGCAATGATCAATTGATTTTCTAACAGTCTTTACAACATAAAGAAGTCAAACTCCTAAAATAGTTTTCATATCTTTTGGTATTTAACTTATAATAACCACACCTTGGTCTAAAAAAAAAAAAAAAAAAAAAAAAAAAAATGCAGTTGCTTACCAAATTACACTTCAGCAAGCACTCATTCCATTTTTCCTTACCTGTATCTTGTTAATAAAGGATCAGCCATCATCTCCCTCACGAGCATACCATCAGTTAGAAACTAAAAGCAAATGCAAAGAAAAATGTAAAAAACACCCTAAAAGGTAGCCTTGATTACCCATGTGATTTTTAAAGATGACTTCCTAAGCTTTTGACTAATTTTTTTCTTGCCTTTAATTTTCTAATCATCTATTAAATAGATCTATTTTCAGCTATGGAAGCCAAACACGTATTTCTGAGTGCTAGCCCAGAGATAAGCAGAGTGATTGTTTTTTAATCAGTATTGATTTTTAAATTAGTTCTTTTTGTATTGAAAAAAAAAAAAACAGATTGGCAGCACTGGAACATGGCAATAGAAATTTCTTCACTCTTGTCTGCAACATGGCTAAATCTGCTCTACCAATAACATGCTGTGTGTCAATCCAGACTTGACCCTCTCAGAGTAGGCTACTTAATATCTATCACACATTTCTGATCAAAACACAAACAATATTTCAACAAAATGAACATTTTAATTTAATACTCTCTTCCTACTAGCCAGTGGAAACCCACGAGCTTTATGTAGCCATCAAACAGTAGTTTGACCTGGACTCCTTGAACTAGGCAAGAACTGGTGTGCAAAGTAAAAACCTCTGAATTTCCAACTCAAAATGATTAATCATCACATTAAAAAAAAAAAAAAAATTTCAGCTGCATTTAATGAACAAACATCTACACTTCTTTCACTTTAAAAGGGCTACTAGTCTCAGAAAAAAAATCAAGTAAATTGTCTCATTCATCATCATTGCTATTTCAGCATAACTAAAGCAAACTCTTGTCTGTACCAACACAAGCAACATTAATATCGCTCACAGCACTAAAGAACAGCTGCAAAGTTGCTATTTAATCCACATCAAAATACTCTTAGTTAGCCTACTCATCTTATGTTTTATCTGCACTTTCAATCAAACCCTATTTTTAGGGTGGTGAGGATACTTCAGCTGTGATTCACTGCAGCTTTTCACTATGACTTCGCATGACGTATCAGGTCACACTAGCACTGTACCAGTATCTGGCCATACCTACCTTGAAAATCTCCTTTAATTTTAAAATGGTGCCCGCCAAACTAGCAGAATAGAACATGTACTGGTTTTATTAAGGTCTGGATAGCCACAGACATTTCAAGCACACTTTTGGGGTACCCACCTGGAAAATTGAAATGCTATCTATTCTCTTTACTGAGCATCACAAGGTTCTCACTAATTTTGCACAGGTACCTGAAGAGTTTCAGCTAACCCTTTCAGAGTAACCACACACTGTTCATGTTTCACCTTAATTCTTGTAGCTTGTGGATCTGTGCAGTCATCAAACCGAATACAATATCCAACTTCATGCCCCAGCACTGCACCTCTTTCATCAGCAACTCGGCCTGCAACCTGAGAAAAGAAATTCTTATAAACAAGAGACAGCTCACGGCACACTTTTTCATCGTATCATTATTTTGTCCATAGAGAATTGGCATTAAAACAGGAACAGAGCTAGGATTACTTGTTCTCATTCAAACACAAAATTCTGTTCAACATAACAGTGCGTGCTGAACATACAAGTTGTAAATAGTTTTAAAATGTTTTAGTGTAACTTAATAAATCTGTTTCATGCTGCTTCTACTCAGGGAAGCTACAGAGGTACGTTTCTGTGATAAGTACTCTGACAGACCTACAAAGGCAGCCACTCAACCAGTCACAATGCTGGGGGGAAGAACCACCTACCAGCAATTGTGGGAGTGCAATTTAAGAACATCATTGGCATGCAAAAAAGGAAGGACTACAGGTATATGGCACACAGAAAAAAGTTACCAGTTAAGCTGATGTGTCCCTGAACTTACTCCATTTTTTTAAAAAATAAAGATGCCACTGTACGTTTCATTAACACAGAATCTTCTATCCAGAAAACAGAAACTGGCAGAATAACTACAAGAAGCAACAATTTTTGGAACACTACTACCCTGGACCAGTTTTAAGCCAATAGCTCCTTTAGTTAAAAATCTCAAGCTATTCAGGCTTACTCTACAGAATATTAGGTATTATCAGGCCATGGTTTCCACAAGTTACAGAGACATTTAATAGCTAAAGGCACAATAAAACTCCAAAATACATACATTAGTTCTAGTAGAATTCCAAGAGCAAGCTACTTTCAGTCATTTGAGTGACATTCTAAACCATGCTGACAGGCAGTGAATTCATGATTTCAATCTTATCACTCCATCACTTTCAGCCCAAGCAGTCAGGATAATAGTCAGTCTGGGTAATGCAAGCAGAAGTTCAGGAATTTCTAAACTATGCCTTATGCCTCTGCAACTCCCTATCTTTACTTCTGACAACTCCCATACTCTAGATGGGAAAGCAGATAAGAACACCTATTAAAACAAAAGATTACTTTCAGTTCAAGACAAAGCAATAAATTGTCAACTATTATCTCTCATGTCCCTGCAACAAGCCATACAGTCCAGGCAGTTTGCAGCAACATTCTTGAAGAAAAATCCTACTGTGTCTATATACTAAGCCCTAAAGGAGCAATCTTTTTATTTCAGGCTTAAAAATAACGTGTTAAGACATCAAAGGGAAGAGAAGTAAGTTTGTAATGAGAAATCACTGCAGTATACACAGCATCTCCTGTAGAACTGTGCATTGTCAGCTGGATGTCCTATGAAGGAGAAAAGGGAGGACACTGCAGGCAGACTGCCCAAAGCACAAGATGCAGATCACTGCTAGGGACTGTTTCCTTAACCATGCTGGATCTGGTCAAAGAATACTGGATGAGATGAAACAGCAGGTTGCACAGCTGCTCAGTCTACTACATTTTTACCAGAGGCATAAGCTGATTTGTTGCAGGTACAGTTTAATACATTATAAAGAACAGGCAAAATGAGGGTTACAAAATGGCACCTCAGTTTTCTATATGAAAAGAATGTTGCATCAGAAACTTCAGCCCACCAAGTCAGTATCTGGCAGCAGTTATGAAGACAAAGAGCGCTGATGCTTTCTGTGCAGACCATAACCAAAGAGTACAAGTTGTTGCCCTCAGCATCTCCTCTTCTTCCTCCCATACATCCAGCTGATGCTATGCTTTCCTAGACATACTATGTATACGAAAAGATTAAAACTGTTTCTTCTTTTCCCCAACACTCTTGCAAAGGGAAACAAATAAAAAAAAAACCACAACCATAAAAAAAAAAAAAAAGCCACAGAAAAAACGTTTGAGAAAACTAGCTATGAGTTGCCAGAAAGAGGTACACAGCCTCTTCCTTCTTCCACTGGCTATGTTACTACACACAGACTTACAGCACTACTTTATTTTGTGAAAGAAGCTAAGGGTCACACAAGCACAGTTCTAGTCCAGAGTCAATCACAGCTCAACCCTGCGCAGCCCTAACTTCCGTACACAGTTCTGCTGATACTACTCAATTTTATTTCAAAGCTTCTACATCTGCAATTCTGGACTTGGAATCTTTGTCAAGACCCACTAATCAGGTTGAATTCAGCATATAGTACCAGCAATTCTGTGAGGAAGATAAGCAGAAACATCTATTCATTCAGGAGCTCATGCAGTTGTGATTCCTGCTATTCAGCAAAACTGGAGGTTATAATGACAACAAACTGGGAAAACATGGCTGTGGAAAAACTCACCGAAACAGCAGCAACCCGACGAGGCTGCGTCACTCCGACAACTCTTCCTTCGGCTGTCCAGCCGGCTTCTGCTAGGTACTGCAAACAAATATTGAGGATAAGAAATGAATTGGTCATGCTGTGATTACAGCAAGGTGTTAGCTCTCCACATTATGTGCTTTTTCTGGTTCTGACACTACTTGATGCATGACTTTATGGAAATCAGTTACTTAGAGATTTTGTGCATTATTAATCTCACCATTAAAACTGATATAGTACAATATCTACTTCCTAAGCACACAAGGTTTCAAAAAGGGTCTAAGAGCTGTCCTTTGGGTCTCCAGTATTTTTGAACTACTTCATTTTTTTCTCCTCTTTCCATTATTTTATAACCCCTTTAAGAAAAAAAGCTAAACAGCACACATCCTGCACTCACACTGAAGCAGATAACCTTCACCATTAGTCTGCATGTTTTTAAGTTAAAATCAAGAACAAACTTTGAAACCTTCTCAGACTTTTTCCATTCCTGTCACAAAAGAAAAAATTTTACAAAACCATAAAACTATACAATATTCCAAAAATGTCCAAGTACCTTTTTTCGTTCTTAAAAATGTATTCTCAACAAAATTTTAAACATTATTCTGATAGAGTAATAAACACCTATTATAGCACAGTGACTACTATTTGTACTAGCATAAACTTATTTGTTGTGTGTGGTCCTTTGCTGTAGTGGAAGAAGGTTTTATATTTCAGATATACTGGCTCCTGCTACCTAATATGAAGCCTTATCATTTCCCTTTTTGGTCATATACATGAGCACAGGTGAATTCCATTCTCACAGTGTAGTTCTGGGTTGCTAGTTTAGCATTCATGTAAAATCCCCTGAAGGAATACCTGATTTTTACCAAGTTAAACGGACACTTACTTGTGGAATCTGCGTTGATTTCCCACAACCTGTTTCCCCAACAATCACCAGAGTTTGATAGTTCTCCACGAGATAAAGTATGTGATTTCTTAGCTGAAAGATGACATTTAAGTATGAAAAACAGATGTGTGCAAAAATAAGAAAATAATTAAAATTATTTACATATCTAACAGACACGGTAAATTCATTTTACATGGAGTTTACTGCCAAAAGCTAAACAGTTCTTTAAAATCCACAAATGACATGCACAACATATAGTAATGAACATAAAAATACAAAGCCTGGAAAACTGTCAGTAATAGTTGTCAAACAGGACAATCAATTCCAACAAATAAAGAGAACAAGGTCATACAATTATTGGTTTAGGTTGTAAAGTGATTCTATACTGCTCTTTCAAAAAAAGACATAGGAGCCAGACATCATGCAACAGATTTAATATACCAAAAAGAACTTCTGTACCTTAAAAACAGGCAGCTTTTGTCTTTGCTGTTCAATAGAAAGGGAAGCATAAGGATTATAGATGACAGTTATGCCACTACTCTCAGCAGGACTCTGTCTCTCCTCTGAAACACTGACGCCAGGACCTTCCGTGCCTAGATGACACAAGTTAAAATTAACTGGAAGATTACACTTCTGCCTAATGTATCACAGTACAACCAAAATAAGTATGTTCCTTACAAGGAAGAATCATAGGTAACAGCATAGATCAAAAGACTAATTTTTTTGTGAAAACAATCAAAATATTAACTAACAGTACACACTCAGAAATTCCTTCAAATGAAATGTGTCTCCTAAAAAAACTAATGTAAATAAGTACTCAAAATTTTAAAAGAAGATAAAGAAGGAAAAAAACATATATGAAAAATACGCAGCAAAATCTTGGGAATTTTCTTCTTTTTCTGTGCAACAGTTCAGATATATCTTTGATACCTTTCTCAGAAGTATGGCCATGGATTTTAAGCCAGCCAGTCAGACATGTAACAGAACTTCCCTTGACTAACATCAGTTGTAGAAACATTCAGCCTTGCCTGCTGATGAGGTGTGCCACTCGCTTCAGATCTGAATTTACCTCAATAACTGAAACTTGGTTTATTCCTGATGCAGGTTAACATAAAACTAGTGACAACCAAAAACGCTGAATCATGCAAGTGTACTAGAAACAAAACCTCATCTCAACAACAGAAGGTATCACCTCCAGCTGCAGAGTCAACCGGGAAAGTCTGAGAGCAAAGAGAAGGATTCTCCTGTTCTGTAGGATTTGTTTGTTTGGGCTTTTCCCACTTTTTCCACTGTTTAAAACCAGCTAGTCCCTACTCAAAGCTGCCAAGCAAGTTTTAAAGCAAATTGATCCACTCTTAAGAGTGATTAACAATGATTCCAATAACTATTCACTCTCCAGGACAAATAAGGAATTAAGACCCAGGGACTTGAATACCTGGATCTTGACAAATCAACGAAGTTAAGAGATATTGCTACTCATCACCCACTGATTTTCTTTCACAGCATTTTCTAGGTTACTTTTCTAATACACAACTGTCAATATATTACTATATATATACTGTATATACACACATACTGCTATAATATTCAAATGATTAAGAAGCTGTTTGCTAAATTAATCTTGACTCTGGAACAGCTTTGCAAACCACAGCATACCACAACACAGTGGTCAATTTAAAAAAAGTTACCAAACTCAGACCCACCAAGCTCTCCTTTCCGATAAGCAAATGGGAGGATATGTAACCGCCCGAAGCCCAAGGGCGCAATCACAGAGGACACAGAGCACAGGGGAGGCTGGAGCGACCTCTGGAGACCTTCTAAGTCCAACACCCCGCTTACCACAGGGTCAATGACAGCGGGCTGCTCAGGTCCTCGTTCAGTCGGGTTGGAGACCCCACAACCTGCTCGACTTCTTATTCCAGAACCTGATCACTCCCACACAGAAAAGGCTTTTCTCATGTTTAAGTCGGCTTTCTCATGTTTCAGCTTGTGCTCATTGCCTCTTGTACTGTCAGGAGGCACTACCAAGAAGAGTCTGGCTCCATCTTCTCTACACCCCCCCCCCCCATCAGGCATTTATATACATCAAAAAGGTCCTTCTGAGACTCCTCTTCTCTAGGCTGCCCAGTCCCAGCTCCCTCAGCCTCCCCTTGCATGTCGCATGCTCCAATCTCTCGGTCAGCTTCACGGCCCTTCACTCTGCGGACCTGCTTCAGCAAGTCCATGGCTTCCTGGCGCTGAGAAGCCCACAGATGGCCGCCGATACGGCCTTCGCAGTGCTGAGGCGAAGGATCACCTCCCTCGGCCCAGCAGCAACACTCTGCCTCGCGCCGCCCGCGATGGGGGTGACCTTTGCTGCCAGGGCTCATCGAGGGCTCTCGCTCGCCCTGTTGCCCGCAGGACCCCAGGGTCCCCTCAGCTCTGCTGAGCTGCTCTCCCCGGTGCGCGGCACCTGGGGTTGCTCCCCCTCAGGGGCAGGACTTCGCACCTCCCTGCGATAAACCCCGCGGGGTTCCCCTGCGCGTTTCTCCAGCCCGTCGAGGCCCCCCGAGGGGCAGCACGCCCACCCGGCGACCCAGCCACCCCCGGTACCGGGCAGCGCCCGGCTGGAGTCACAGAGGCCTCGCCGCCCCCCCGGCCCCGGCGGCGGAGGGGCAGGGCGCTTCTCCCCTGCCCG